CCAGTTGCCCAACGAAAATCTGTGGCAATCTTTAGAGGTAATTGGAGACCTAAAAAGTCCAACAACAGTCTTTCATTTAATACATTAAAGATCATATACGGAGCTACTTATTTAGGTTCTATGTGCTATGGTGCACCTGTATGGGCCGATAGGGCGACCGTAGGCGCTGTCCGTCGCAAACTGTTACAAGACCAACGACTTGCACTGATATTCTTGTGCAAGGCATATAGGACGGTTAGCACTGAGTCTTTGCCGGTGTTGGCGGGTGTGCTTCCGGTCGATCTCGAGGTGCAGAGACGTGCAGACGTTCAAGACAACAAAACATGGATTGCGATTTTTTGGGCGCGCGGGATCGCGTTAAAATTACAAGATTGCTTCAACAGCAGTCCGATGTCTATAATGACCTCATAGACGAATGGCAACAACGCTGGGATGAATCATCCAAGGGGCGCCATCTTTACCAATTCTTTCCATCTGTTCGTGAACGGTTGTCGAGGACATGGCTTGAGGTGGATCACTGTGTCGCTCAATTTTCATGGTAACTTTAAGAGCAAGCTTTATTCATTTAAATTAGTCGAGTCACCACTGTGTCAATGCTCAACACCTCTCAACACTCTCACTATGAACAGTCTGCTCATCATATCCTCTGGGAATGTAGTCTTTGGTATAATGAACGTAATATAATGCTGAATAGCTTGCAGTTGAATAGTTACATCTGGGGCGGTATACTACGGGGATCTTGTGTCAACTAGGGTGAATTTCCGTGCGTTTACATATTTTTACGTAAACGCACGGCACGGCACGGTTTTAAGTTTCGTAGTAGACTTAAGGTCGACATCAACCTGGTTTGGGAAAAAGGCTCGGCTTATTTGAGTAAAATTTCTTTCCATAATGCCTTGCTTGCTTGTCTTACTTTCATATAATGAGTTCTTGTCACATAAATTGCTAACACAGTATAGATTGCCCTCCTTTATACATGAAGCATTAAAAATTGTTTCTTCAATTACAATGCTAACAATTCATTATAAATGACTAACGTGACGTTTGAATGTGTGCCAAATTGTATTTTCACAATATACCGCATTACTGAGCTATTATTTTTTGTAATATTTTTGTAACACCATGATATTCAAGGCATCAATACTATTGCTATTTCTTGTAGTTCACAATGCAAGGAAAATCTAATCTTTACAGTCCTGACCATACCAAGATTGCCTGGAAGTCATCGCTTCCAGCGATAAGGCCGCCCATTATGCATTTTGACGGGCCTCGTTGGGGCTCGTCGAGGCGAAGGTCGTTGGTTCCATTTCCCTCCTTTTTTTCGTGTGAAAACCCCCTCGGGCCTCCACAGGATTTGCGGCGGGGTGGTGTGTCGGAAACGGACCGACTAAAACCACACCACTCTATGCCTGAGATAGGAGAGATACGGGAATTGCTGTCGACATCTGGACCCCTCCTAGCGCCTGCCCGCAAAGCGCGGGCACCACCTTGTATAAACTGTTTCTGTATATTTCTTATCTTTGGTGTACAATAGAGAGTATTAATTATGATTATCATAGTAGGGGTGGATCAAATAAAGGAGTCGCATGAAATATTGGAAAATTGTGGACGTGAATGTCGTCCCTTATCGGAATTGATAGTTTTCAGATGGGAGAGATTTATAAAGTAAGTAAGTAAACTAAATTACGATAAGGAAAGCGCATGGGGCGAGGAAGCTGGGATACGCAAGTCTCGGATAGTGACTGAAACGAGACGGACGTGACCGCGAGACTCACAAGTGCCGCAGTCGTGCGGCCTTGTGAGTCGACGGAGCGACTGCCGTCAGATCTACAACTCAAGTACTAGGCGACATCGAAGTTCAGTAGAAAGACTGTTATAGGACTTTCTTCCGAAATATTATTACTGTCCGAAATATTATTGCCTAACTTTTCAATGTGTTAACCTACTTAATTGCCACTCAGCCATGAGACCCTCTGTTGGTATTAATTTTGTTCTAATAAGAATACAGAGTGTCAGCACTCCTATTCATCCCGTGGGTGTCGTACGAGCCGACTAAAGGAGTAAAGTACGTAGGACAACAGCACTGCAAAGAGAAGGAAAACTTGAAACAAACCCTATACCAACCCATCTGGTCAGCATAGTATAGTAGGCCAGAACCTCCTTTCTAAGGAGAGGCCTATGTCCAGCTGTGGACTAGTAAAGGCTATTGATAAATTAATAAGTTGGCAAACAAGCACATAGTTCACCTGATCACTTACAAGACCAATAGTCTCCATTCTTACCCACACTATAATCTTCAGAGATCCCCCTCAAATCTCACTAATATAACAAACCCAAAAGCTTGCAAGGATATATGCAGGTTGGCTACTCCTTTATCAATTTTTAAGACTTACATAAATACATAAAATATTATCTGCAGAGACAATACAGACAAAGCCACTTGCAAGAGTGACTTAAGAAATATATAACACTACTACATGACTACAGGACCGGATGGCGTAGTGGTTTGTGTTAGGAACTGCCATTCCAAATTTCCAAAATTCAATTCCCGCTCAAGTCAAAAATTTGTGTGCATGAACATTTAATTTTGATTTGGTCTGGGTGTTTCTATGTATCAGAAATATATATTTACAATACTAGTACCCATAGTACAAGCTCTGCTTAGTTTGGGACTAGATGGCACTGTGTGAATGTGGTAGAATATTATTTAAACGCTAAAGATGCTTTCTACAGTTGGTAGTTGCTATTTTAGATAATGTCAGTCGTACTGTGCTGTACAGCTAGTGTAACTTCATCCATTATTTATTTTGCTTGAATAAAATTAATTTCAAAGGTGACTTTTTTTCTTACATCTTTGTAAATTGTCAGTTTGCAGGGTAATAAACTTAATTCAATGTAAGTAAGGTTTAACTAAATTATGTTTAATTATACTATGATGCAGAGTTTTGAAAACAATTCTGACTACATGTATTAACGTTAGTTATTATGTAGTAGTTGAAGCAGTCTCCTCACCACTTCCTGCTACGCTGAGTGTTGTGGGTTCGATCCCCACATGGGTAAACACTTTGTGTAATCCACAAATTGTTGTTCTGAGTCTGGATGTCCTTTGTGTCCGTTTCATGTATGTTTGTAAAGTCGAATGCGACACAGGATATATTCCTAGTGCAGGGGATGTCTTTTAATGAAAGAAAAAATCATATTCATGTATATGTACTAGATATAGGTATATGCATGTACAAAAACAAGAAAGATGTCTTAAATGAGATTTCAACAGTTTCTTGTGTATCTTGCATAACTGCTTAATAAATAATGATATAGAAATATAATTAAATTTATCCATATAAGGCTACAACACCTGATATTTTGCTAATTTAAATATATTATATACACAAACGGCAGAGCCTAATGGTTAAGGCATTGGACTTGCGAACAAGAGGTTGTGGGTTCGAATCCTGACCAGTACACTACCGACGAGAACCCACTCCTAACACAAGCAAATTAAGCTTAGCTGGAGTGGTTAACGGGAATACTAGTAATTTCGGTTGCTAGTTAGCCTTTAAATATATATATATATATAAATCTTTATTCATTGTTTAATGATAAAGATCCTTTTCTTATTATTTTTTACAAAAGACTTTTAAAGTCCTCTTCATCAGAGTCTAACAAGACTCTAAAGAAGACTTACAACATTAAAACTGAGAGTTAGATAAAACCAAAAACAAATAAATACATTCCTGATGAAATTTCTCAATTAATACCACCCGTTTCCTTTTGTAAACAAGATTTTAATTAATATTTTTACCTTTCTAAGGCATATGTTGATTCATTTATTATAGTTAATATAATATTATTAGTAACATCTACAAGAGAAGATTATAACCAGTAACTTAATACTGGCATATAAGGTATAAACAGATTCCAATAAGAACTCAGGTACAATAAGAGGTAAAATTGTATATTACTTATGTTTTTACTGTATAAATCATTAGAGGTTAAATATATGAGATTGTTTGGCCTGAACAATAACCAATGTAAATGCATAATTATATAAAACCCAGAACTATTTAAATCCCTATTAGATGTTTGTTTACAGTTCAATTTTATTGCAATTAGTACAGGCACAGATAAATAATAAAAGAAATTGATTTTTATAGTTAGCTTTAAACATAAATATAACAAATTAACTGTATTTTTTGGTTTCACTCAGATTTATGGTCACTGCTAAAATGTTTATTTAATATGAAAGTCTTTTTTAAAACAGTTCAGTTTTAATATTCATTCAACAACTTTTCAGTTTTAATATTTTAATTTATATTTGAGCTTAATAATAGTTTTGCCTGTTTCTGTGATAAGTAATAGAAAACACTTAAATAATTCAGATTTTAAATGGAAGTCTTGAAATACACAATGAAACATATGGTCAATCATGGTACTAAATTCTTAATAGCTGCTGTAAGTACCATGATAATTACTTAGGACATCTGGTGTTGAAACAAGTATTAACAAGACGATACCTACTCTGATTTCATAAACTTAAGGTTTATAATTAAAAAAAAGGTTGATACCGTCATAAAATACTATTTATGTAAACATGTAAGACAGGCAGTCTAATTTATAATGTTAATTTTATAGGAGTCAGGATACAAGCCCAAACTTCTGTTGAAAAAATTACGATTACAAAATAAAATCTATCCTTTTCTATGAATTATAATTACATTTAAAGAAAATTAAGTCCACCATGGAAGACAAAAATAGATGATGAGCTACTTGTAGGTGAACATGTGTATAAACCGAATAATCTCGAATAGCCGCAAACGTTAAGTGACTTGTTAAGATATGAATTGATAGGAATTTTTGGTTCTAAGATGTGTATGAAAATGAAATATTGGCATTAATTCTTGTAATTACAAATTGTTGCATATATGACTTGAATGAAGGACGTCAACAGGTGTCATGAAAAGTCAGAAAAAATGCTCATTTTCAGGGTCATGAATACTTACTCTGTTCATTGGAAGCTGTTATAGCGGCATCGTTCAAAAAAGACCCACTCCTCACCACAGGACCCCATTGCTGCCTTCGCCCATTGTCTTTAGAATCTGTCCTCTCTACATCTTCCGCTTTGCACAGATGAAAAGCAAATACGAACCAAAAAAACTTTAAACCGATACGCATCGTGATCTCACAATTATACTAATCTAATGCATTAACAACACGTAAAAATACAAAATCACCTTAGTAACACCACACTCTATACACATTCTAATATACTAAGCGGATAAAATGGTTTATTGTTAAGGCCACATCACAAGTTCAATGAAAAAACATAAAAACTATCTACGATTTTTATCACAGAAAGAAAAAACCAGCGAGGTCAAAAGAGTTTGACGTTTGATTTTATTAAGTGGCAACACAATTTTCTTGCCCAAAAAAATAAAAAAAAAGTTTATTTTTATGTGCTAGTGGCGGCGTCAATTTTTAAGTCGTTTTATATTTGAAATCTTTGTGTTGTTTTTCAAAGGAAATAGTAGGGAGAAGTAGCTTTTGGTTTCAAAAAATTCTTTTGGAGAAAAAAAAAAAAAATTTTAAAAAGTTCAACTCTCAAATAATGCAAAAAATTTAAAAAAAAATTTTGTCAGAAGGTGCCAAAAAAAAAGCCCAAAAATCCCCTAAATCCCCAAAATGTTTTCTACAAAAAAAATTGAAGAAACAAATGTGCGCAATAAAAAACAATGAGAATAAACCTCGAGGAACAAAATCGGACCATCAAATGCCGAAATTTTTAAAAAGCCCCGTTTTTTTTTTTTTCAAAACTTGGGAAAATTGTAACTTGCGTTTGGAAAGAAAGAGAGTTTAGTTTAGTTTTAAATGTTATCAGCTGTAGTCTTTTAATACATAAATTTTAACATCAAAATGTTAAAAACTTTTTTCAAAAACCGTTGACTTTGCAAAAAAATGACCTTTTTTTAAAGCGATGGGAGAGGGTTTTTAAATTTTTAAAAAAGTCTAAATTTGGGACCATTGTACTAAAGAGGAAATTTAAAATTAAATACAAAAATTTTCAAATCATTCGTAAGTATACATTTTTCAAATCCAATGAAAAATCATTTTTGCACGGCGGCGGCATTCTTGGTCACAAGAAATGATAGATTATCGTATTTTAGGGGCCTGATTTTCGAAAAAATTTAAAAAACAGTTTTAAAAATTTATAGCATTTCTAAAATTGTATTTAAAGTTTTTTTCAGTTATCTTGTTAACCCCCTTTTTTTATCTAAGGTAGGTTACAAAAAATTTTTCTATTAAAAATTTTGTCAACTTTTCAAAAATGCAAACCCCCAAAAAAGGA